ATCTCGGCTCTCAGATTACAGAAGAAGCTCAAAACTTGTGCTATATACGAACACGGGAAAATGCGCTCTCTGGCAGTTTGAAGTTGGTTCCAGCATCAAGAGGTGGATTTCGGACCTTGTAAATTTGTATCGCATGGGGCCCTCTTGATGAGCGACTACCTGCAGAACCTACCTCCTAACTTTCGAACGACTAACATCAACTAAGTATGATGTTTGACAACGATAAAGTAGCATTCTATGACCTTAAACGATCCTTGGTATGAATCTCCATGAATAAGGTGATTCAGTAAGCTCTCAGTTGGACTCAATAGGGCATTAGGTTCGATGCTTGTCTGTGAGGTCGAAAAATCTTCGAATAACTCAAACCGTTGTAAGCATTCCTAAGAGACATAGCCTCTTGGCCATAAAGCAGCAACTAAGCCTGTGCGGTTTTAGCTTTTTAATGAGAGGTGAAAAAGAGGGACTGACAAAAATGCTCAATTTCGTCGACCTGACAATCCTGTAATTAAATATTTGTGGAAAAAGGAACCTCAAAAAAAACTAAGAAGACTATCAAGTAGACCAAAGGATACTCTGCGAATATTATGAAACTCAGTTGCAAAAATATTTATCTTTAGAGCGATATTTATAGTGAGAAAAAACGCCGTTACTTATAGGCTGACCGGATATATTACGTTCCAGTGAACTACGCAGCCATCCAACATCATCTCCGAGACGAGTGTATGCTAGGGCCCCATTTCCCAGATACTGACTTATCTACAGCAAACTAGACGAATTTCAAACGTTCAAAATTTACTGAAATAAACAACCAATATCACCGAGACCACTGAACTGTAAAAAATTTTATCATCAGAAATCATCCAGTGAAAGCCAAAAAGAATCTCCCGTCAATCGATAAATCAATATCGTCAATAAAAATCTTATGAAATCGCAAAACTAAGGAAGAGTCACATAAAATATGCTTTTAACCAAAATCAAAATGTGGCAGTACATCTTAATCAATTACTTCAACACTATACCATACACCAGTAAGTATTAACAAAAGTATGAAAATTTCTCAAATAGAGGAAGGAAAGAAACCAGAAATGGCCTAACCATTAAGCGTCGTGGAAGCTCCGCCCCAGATAACAGCCTCGCTTATGCGATATCATGACGGAAAAAACGCAGCACCTTGTAGCTCCATCCCAGATGACTCCGCCCACTTCTTCTTGATTTAGTGGCTGCTTGAACAAAGGTCCGCCGACGCAGGAATTATCGATCGGTACAACCATTACAAACAGTGAAAGAACAAGATCAACAACCTTTTCTCACTAAGCGACTGAGTGAAATCGGCTGATTCCGGATGGCCGTCTAGTAGAGGCGCTTTTCAAATCTGAAATTTCGAGAATGACGTCATTAAGGTCTACTTCCATTGATATGAGTGATTACAGTTACCAAACAATGTGTGCGCTGAGAAACAATCACATACACACAAAACTGCACACAATCTGAGAACAGACACATGCAGCGGAAATTCCAGTATCGTTTGATAGGTTAGGAATATAAAGATGAGGTGTTTACTGAGCGGTAATCGTGACAGGACCGCTACTGCAGACATGGGTTCCAAACGAGAGGACAGAAACGCAGAGTTTAGGGTATAGAAGTTGAGAGGAAATATGTTAGACAGATGTGATGGGTGCGATAATCGATCACCTAACGACGAGAACCGTACCAGATGAAGGCCCCGGTGTTGGATGACGACCGCTTGACCAACTAGCTAGGCTATATTGGTCAATGCTGTAACTATAAAGATGAGATTTCGGACAGAGACGAAGAAAATTGGCGCACGGTTGTGAGAGCGTGTATTTGTCTTTCCTTTGACGTTTAGGGCTGGGGAACATGTAAAATAATCGCCCGGCAGGAACGCTGGTGGGCATAACCGCGACGTCGTGCACGTGCGTGCACAGTTAAGGCTGCGTTTATACTTTGCGGCAGCGTAGCGTAGCGCTTCCAGCGTACGCCAGCGGCAGTGCCGGGGAGAGGATGCATATCGATCTAGCGTTCCCAGCGTCACGCTAGCGTACGCCAGCGTTTCTCCAGCGTTTCACCAGCGTTTTGCTGGCGTTTGCAGCGGCAGGGGAGTAGAGACTATGTGGCCGTAGAGACGCGGAATCGACGTGTATTGTAGAGACTATGTGGCCGTCAGAGACGCGGAATCGATGTGTATTGTAGAGACTATGTGGCCGTCAGAGACGCGGAATCGATGTGTATTGTAGAGACTGAGGGCGAGTGAGAGACGCGCAATCGATGTGTTTTGTACCCTCCAGCTCGCTAGCGTTACGCTGGTGACGCTGGGAACGCTAGATCGATATGCATCCTCTCCCCGGCACTGCCGCTGGCGTACGCTGGAAGCGCTACGCTACGCTGCCGCAAAGTATAAACGCAGCCTAACCAGTACCTCACACAGTGACTGGTTGACTCTAGCGCTTGAAATAGTAGGATCCGTCTACGGGAACACAATCTCAATGATTACATCATCTGGCCCATGATATTGTGAGGGCGGATATTTCCCCGCTTTTTGACGAGACTAATCTTTACAAAATGCCCGATTCAGTAGTGACTTACGCTAAAGGTACCAAAAAACAAAAAATGACCGGATTTTCTGCCCAAC